CTACGGTGTAAAAATTAGAGGGGGGAATTAAGGTATACTTAAAGGGCGTTGAAACTATTTCAACAAGGTCTCATTCAGAGCTATAATCCGTGGCGATGAAGATCGGAAAACCAAGAACATTTCAAAATTCTCATCCACAACTGCCGTTATCATTTCACATTTCTAATCAGTTACGATCTAGCAGAGTTCCCATCCACCACTAGTCATTCTTCAGTCCGTTACATTCCCAATATCTACCTAGTAAAATTAATATTAACCATTACAATTTAATTCTTACCGTCCAAATAGGACAATCAGATCAGAACTAAAACGAAATTTTCTTACTGTCCCTATTATAGAGCAACTTCACGATTTGCATTATGGTTTTTAATAGATTCGCCAATGAGAGACCGCCTACCTAACATTCTTTTATTCCTCCGCTGTCACGTCATTTTAAGTGGATTGGGTGACAATGGCATCAGGCGCAACTCACTATTTGTGCACCATAATGGCATTGTTTGGGTTGGAGCTAAGGAAGACAACGCATAATTTTACTTCAATTTACTATAAAATACTTCACAATTCGCACATTTCTTATTAATTACAATTTTCGACCATTTCTTATCTGCAAAGTTGCAAAGGACGCGAACTTTTTTACTTAGGTATAGGCGTTTTTTTTCTTACTCAGAAAACAAACATCTTACTACTGTATTATGCAGATGCAATGTCACAAATTCCGTTCACACTCCTGCGTACCGTACCAAAAGGACCGTAGGATAATGAAATTTCTAATTATACTTGAAACCTTTGGCAAACTAACTTTACCTTACATTCTCAGTATTTAATTATACTTGTTTACCCATGAATTCAGAAAAAAATTAAAAGTCTTTGTGACCTACCACATTATGAAATTGCTTGAAGAATCCACTTCACTCATCCACTGGTTTTTGCTTTCAGCTTACCTACCCAATGAACCTACACAATCATAAAATGACATTTTTCACTCATTGATTAAGATTTCTTAATTTGCATAACATTTCTTAAATCTTAATAATATTGCTACATTTCCTATATCCCTTACGGTAAGGCATCGTTAATGTTAGTTCAACGGTTAATGTTAGTTCAACAAAATAAAGTTTTTTAATTGTTCGGCCTCCTCCTCCCCTTTCAGCCGTCCATCACCACCTTTTATTTTTTAATACCTGATACTGTACTTTCAAGTACTCATTTTCACTGTTAGCAGCTTAGAACTAATTCGTAGTTGGTAGTTCTCTCATCTTTAAATGAATACCAAGGACCATTCCATCACAAATAATTAGTGCTATCCATTCTTATTTTTCTTGCACGGAAAAACTTCCATGGAACTAAGATTATGTAAAACAATGCATTATACCAAACTTAAAATTGTAAGAGGGCTATTGGGCAATGCGTCTTACGTACCATACTTCTGCCTAAATCTTGAATATCTGAAGTCTGAAAGCTCTACATTAATCAGAAGGGTGATGCACGTACATGGCTGATCGTAAATAAACTGACAAGTTACCTACCTACTTGATACCTGCTTGGAAATAATAAGGGTTTGTAGGTCAAAATGCCCATACGAAAAAAAAAGGCAAGGAGTCAGTATGTAAGCTAACATCCCACAGTTATCTTGCATATTATAAATATTACAAACATTGGCTCAAGTTTGCTTGAGGCAGCTTAAAAACCTAAACATGATCATCAAAACCACTCACATCAACCTCACATCAGTGAATTATCAGTAAAATGCAAGCATCATGTTTCAATGGTATTAACATTTCAATGCAAGGAACATTTTCAACATGAGAATTAGTCTCCCTACATTCTGAGCCTTGCCTGCTTTTATTATAAGGGCGAAGTTCAACATTAATTGCATTAGTTTTAGAAGGATGTTTATTCTTTCTGTAAGATTCATACAAATTATTTCTTAACTGCAAATAATCAAGGTAGAGGTAGAACAGCAGACATCACAACTATGACACATTTGTCCCTATCACAGAGGAATGAAACAGTAACTCTTAATATGAAAAATCCGACAAAACGAGATTCAAGGAATTCTAAAGTGAAACACCATGATACAACAAACAAGACCTCTGAAGCGAAAAACAAGGCAGATAACATAATAGTACAATAACTGAACAAATCCAGACATTTTAACATGTCTCCAAATACATCTAAATATAATTTCAATACATTCATATCAAAAGTATTAAAAGTCTTGGAAGTTCAATACTCTGGTTTGGAAACATGGAAATTTATATCAATTTTTAAATAGAAAGAAACTGGTAAGATCCATCAAACCAGTACACATTGATGTACATAATGCATGTACATGGTTTCTAATGTAAAAAGAACTTTAAGTAGTTGAATTTTAAATAAGTTATGATTTTTAATTTTAACAAAAACAAACCTGGAATGACAGGTCATTATTACTTTCCAAAATTTTTGGAATTTAAATCTTTAAACAGCAGTGTTTGAAAGAATTTCAAACTTACACGAAACTAAATATAAAATTGTATCAAGTAAAAATTGCAACCACAATTATAAATAAATAAAACATAAGTCTAATTCAAACCAACCATTACAATTACGTTGGCGTTTTTCTCAAACGTTCAAGTTCCATTTTATGTTTGAACAAAACATAAAAATTAAGATTCAAATTTAAGCAGAATATAAATGAAAGGATCAGTCAAATCTTAGTGTAATAGCAGTAATGCATTTATAATCTATTGTTATACATGTGAAAACTACACTTGTAATTGCAAATAAGTTCAGATGCAATTTATAATTGCAATGAAAGAATAAGGATATATAACTTATCTTCATTATGAACGATAGGTTTCCCATAATTTTTGGAATTTATACCTAACAGCAATCTTAGAAAGAATAATATTCACACGAAATAAAATTGTATGAGAACTGCAACCACGGTCATACAATCAAAACTTAATATCTAATGCAAACAAATTGTTACAATTTAGATTGCAAACTAAAGGTTACTTGCATTTTCTCAAAAGAATCTTTGATGACCTATATTCTCTTTTGGACAAAACACTAAAATTAACCTCAAATTTCAGCAAAATATAAATGCAGTCAAAACAAAATGAAACGGTAATGTTTTTATAAATGTAAATGGTTAAACTTGTAACAAACCACCACACTTTATAATACAATGGACTGCCAATAAGTTTTGATTTTGCAATGATTGCAATTGCAATGAAAAAATGAACAAAAAAACAACTAAATCAATTATGATAGATCAAGTTTCCTTAAGTCCTGATGTTTAAGATAGTTATTTGAAACATCTTATTTACATGAAACAAAACAAAGTTTTATCAGAATACAAAATTGTATCAGAACTGCAACCACGATCATGTATAAGCTTATGGTCTAATGCAAACAAAGAGATACAATGTGTGGGCAGTATCTTATGGTATGGCAGTATGGAAGTAAAGAAAAAATTAAAATACTTGGAAACAATACGCAAATACAGAACATTTGTAAGTAAGTTTCCTTTTGCATGCTCTTCAAAGAAATTGAAACTGCAAACAAACTACAATATGACTGTACAAATTCATAATATGCAAAGAAATGTTAATTTGGCTGGAAATGTTACTTTGCTGATGAGACAGCTAAAAAGCCGTTTATGGTGGGCGGGGGAAAAAAAAAATCAGCAAAGATCTAGTCTTGCAGAGAACACCTTACATAAGTTTTGCATTTTGGGAGGGTAATAAATGTTTCATGAAGAACAATATTTTTACCCTAAATTTATGAGCAATGCATACATCAGCTCTCTAAATTGTTCAGAAAAGTTCAAATTTTTTAAAATTATACTTTTGATTTAGTTGACATATCGTCAAAAGTTAATGAATACTGAATGCCATGTATATACCGAATGTCTATATATAACATTTAAGTTTTCAAAAATTTAAATAAAATGATGCAATGGGTATTTTTATTCCAGCTAAGTGGAATTAAACTGGAATAGAAATAACTATATCTTAATACACTTCAAAATAATACGTACATATTCATATTCAAAAACAAAGTCTGAACAAAATGCCTGAAACATTGTAGGAAGTTACATTTTCATTGAAAAGAAACCTACACGTTTATCAAGTATTACTTAAGTACAGTACGAGAACTTGTCAAATCTGAAGATGTAAGAATATGAATGTGTACACATAAAAAAATGTGAAATGTAATAAAAATAAAGAAATAAGGTTTCAATTAAAACTTAACAAAAAGTATGGTTGTAGTGAAAAAAGCAATAAAATTATGCATTTTTGCATTTTCACAATTATGCATGCATCTGGTGAATTTTACCAATTTTGGGATTGGAAAATCACACACACCAGTTATTACATGAACATACTGACAACTTCAAATTACAATTGAGCTTAAAACTGTCAACAGATTTCTGCTATTAATTGGAAACCATATAGCCATGGTTTGTAGCACAAGGAAGATACGAAGTTTTACATTGAACGTTGTTGAAGAACGAACAGAACAGTTTTGTAACAACTGTCCACAATTTACTGGACAAAGTCAAGATTCATTTACAAACTTTATAAACGCGAGATTATTTTTAGTATTCAGAAAGTTCAGTAAAATGTTAAAGCCACTATAGCTTCACTATGGCAAGTTAAAATAACGAACATGCTGAGCACTTCAACAAGTCATGCTGACACAGAAAACTTGTCGAGGCTCTTTGCATCTTGAATAGGTACCACCATAAAGGATCACAATTGGTAAGATGAGGAGTCTTAAGGAAATGATCTCCGTACTAGGGAGGTGGACACTTCTCGAGCAGGAACTGGGCATAAAAAGTTCATTACAGGAACTGAATTGATGTTGTAGATCAGGAACCGGACGGGCAGGCAACAGGAACCGGGCAGACAGTCGGGCCAACACATCAGGGGCATCCTAGACGAGGCGCGGCGCAGCGCAGCACGAAGAGCGGGCACGGGCGACGGAAGGGGGCCGCAACCGAGAGGGACTCAACCAGATGCACGGGCAGGGCGTAGGATCCCTCGAGGCGACGCCAGCAGTAGCCGGACTGCTGATGCACGCCCTCGACCCTTGGGGACAGGCCGCCGAACCAGGAGAGGGCTCCACATCGCACGCAGCTCGAATAGACCCGACACTCCCAAGATGTGAACCCCAAGACGCCTCGGAACACCGTCCACAGGGGGGCCGCATATCATAGCTTGACACAGGCGCAGTGCTTGCTCCTACAAGAAACGTGGACCAAACAAACAGACACCTGATCGTGTAAACTCCCTCCCTCCCCTCCTTTTGATCAAGTATTAAGAAATCTTATTGCATGCCATATGTTCCCCTTTCACTAAAATCAATTTATAGTTGCAAAAAATGAATTAATTTATACTTCAATCTACAATCAATAGTCAATGTATATGCAGCAAAATGCATGATATACTTATGTGAGTGTCGAAACCAAACCTTCGGTGTCTCCGGATCGATATTCTCATTTCTCCGGTCGATTCCCACACGAACTCCAAAGGCCAGTTCCTACAACTAATGGAAGCGCCTCTCCTCCACACATTTGTACAGGTAAGATATGACATTCGTTTTATCTGACCTTACATTTCTCTGTAGACTCCACTTGCAAGGAGAACTTTCAGGAGTCAACTGCACAGGGCACCACCTGCTCACGGATTGATATGTACCCAGCCCACCCCACTTCTTGCTCATCAGGTAGGCCTATAATTCAGGAAGATGCACGCACAAATTCCGTAATTAATGGCAAAATTACATCTACTTGCAAACCTGCATGCATCTTCATACTTTAATTGGCTCTGAATAAGAGGTTCTTAATTCTTCAATCTTCATTTAGAACTGCCTGTCCTAGAATGATACACAAGGGCACAAATTCCAAATTCTAACAATGATTTTTAAACCTTGTAATCATATGAAATTAGAAGCACCACCTGCCAATAAAAATTATGTCTTGAATGTCAAGCTAGAGTTTCTTGAGATTTAACCTGAATATTTTGAAAAGAAAGGCCATTCAAAAATTAATCTATATCCCATCTTACGGCAGGCAGGCTGCATGCTGAGGGCTACAATGGAGAAGATGGCCAAACTCGTCAGGGAGCTGCGGCATGTCCAAAAGGCTTGGATGTATCCAGTAACCACCAATGGTGCAGCGCATCCACTCTCCAAAACTTCCTAGAACGATCCAGAAAATCTTCCCACATTCCCCCACAATTCCAAATGATACAATCTACACAATATGCTTCTAGAATGGTATTGAGATGCCCAACTTTAGCAGTGAAAATGAAGTCAGCTCAAATTAATACCTTTACAATGGCCTTCAAAGAAATTTCAGAATATGAATTGTTGATGAAGTTGTAGGAAAACTTGTTGCAGTCTTTTCTCATTGCAGTAAAGCTGATGTTCGCAGAACCTTTCATCGAAGTTTTCTTCTCGTCTCCTAGAACGATAAACGCCCCGCGCCCCAACAATTCCCACTTAAAAGTATCTTATCACCTAAGAAAATGATCAAAATGATACAAGTGAGCATACCACTGAGCCTACAAGCATCTGTGAAATCTTCGAATTGTGGGAGCACCTCCAGTCTATTACCTACAACCAAAAGCAGAGACCCCCACAACCCAGGCACCCAAACATACTTGTCACAAGTATTTCCATTAAAATGGCAGTTATAATTTATTTGTTACCGGATGCCGAGTCGCTCTCAGCTTCTTGCCATCACGGGATAACATGGTCCTCGGTCTTCAGCCACTTCACGAGGGCCTATAACGAGAAGATTAGAAAACCCACACGCCCCCCCAATATGTACACTGGAAAAATCTTAGCTTAGAATCAAATTTCGCATTAACTATGCTAACTTGTCCAAATCCAAATTACCAATCGCCAGGCATCTTCAGTTTAGTAGCTTCGCATAGCCATCTCTGTTGAAGGGCCTACAACGGAAATCAAACCCCCCTACATAAGTGCTGCAGCAAGCAAGCACTCTTCGCAGTCCAACTCCATCGGTCACAATCACTACCAAGCCGAGCCGGCCTCACAGCTCTCCTAAAGACAAGGCCAAGCGATGTTTCAGATAAAAGGTCAAGAAATAAAATGAATGTAAGATTAAGTATGCCGATACAAATACCACCAGTTGACAGCATGCTGCGTTCAGAAAGCTCTACAGGCCACAGAAAAATGTCGGTTGCACGGTTAAGATTTCTGGCTCCAAACGGTGACCTACAACGTAAAGCCATCCCTCCACACACACACATCAATTACTCCTAGCCCTAAGTTAAATTATGGAATTAGAATGCAAGGGCCGAAAACAAACATGAACTAGACAGGCAAGAGGAATATCCACATTCGCTACAGGTGCAAATTTTAATAATTGTCAAGAAAGATTTGCAAAGCAGGAAGTAAGTTCCCTGGACTTCCCAATAAGGCCTACATACCTCATACCAGGACATTTTGGTTGCTTCATGAGTCACAAGAAACCGAACTTGTAAGTTGCTAGATGAGACTAATATCTTGCAAAATTAGGTGTGATGTGGCAAACCTTGTTATCAGCCTTCTTTGAGGTAATGTACCAGAAAATGTTGCTTCTCAAACCTTGCTTTTCATAGCACCAGCATACATGTTAGGTCCATAATACTGCATTATTATCACTTGCAAGATCAAATGTGCTTCTAACCTGCTTTTCATGGTGTCCTCACATGCTCAAGTCCATTCAGGATGTATCATAAAGGCCTACAATGGAAGTTAAGACATCCCACCCACATACAAATATTCTATCCCAAAAGCATCAACTCAAGTACACTCAAAAATACCTCAAACCTGGAGTAAATTCTGCAGATAAGACATGCCGTGCAAAACCAATATAGCTTATAAAGGAACAGTAGATTAGCTTATAAGCCAGGATTGGCATGGAATGACTCCATGGAATAGGGCCCAAAAAAAACCTCCCCCAAATTCGCCCCTTATCCCACCCAAAAGTAAATCCCTTGAATTTAATATACAGGCACATTACAAAAGGACAGTTACAAAACAATTTGAAGTTACACATGGAGTGAACTACAATACAATTCGTGAAATGTCCATACCTTGCAACTACTTCTAGCATTGGTAATTCATTTCTTCAGACATTCTTTGTTCTTCAAAATTCACAAAAAAACAGTAATGGACAAATTACTCATTACAATTCTAGTGAATACATTCATGCACCACAAAAAAGGGCTCCTGCTATAGAATTAATAACTTCTGGTAATAACTTTCTTCTTTTGCCATTGCCATTAAAACACTTTTAGGAAGTTATATTTTCCAGTTAGTGCACAAATTGAAAATTCCTAATTGTTGGAAATGAAAAAAAAATACAACAGAAGCATGAGCTATTCTCATAAGTTAAAACTAACTTACAGAAACAAAATAGAAAAACAAATCAAACCTGCATCACACATTTAGCAGTGATAAAAAGATTACATATAATGCAAACAGGATTTGAAATTAAATTCAAGGAACAGGCCTGAATTTGATGCACTATTAACTGAATGTCTTCTTTTTCCTCTCAAGTGATTATTTTAACAATTTTGAATATTTTTAATCACTTATCCAGTCTCAAGCTGTGGGTAAATATGGAAAGTAACAATGTTAAGAATTTAAAATTATTAACATTACTTTGAATCTCACCATACTGCAAGGTTTTGACATCCTTCAAAGAAACTTCTCTTGCAATTGAAATCAAATTTTCTATCTTGCTATTAGAATCAAATTTTCTATTTCTTGAAATCTTCAATAAAATTAAATCTTCCTGATAACTACACCATTTACTAGAATGTTAGCACTTCACGAATGTTAAAAAAAAATTCCACTAAAAAGAGGCCAAGAACTTCACAATGCTAATTTATGATTCACTACACTCACAGACACCACACGAAAGATGAGAAGACAGTAATCTCATGCAGAATTCTTAAATGATGCATTCTTCCAGTCTTTTTGAACCAATTAGTATTACAGAAGCTTTGACAGACCATATACAATATCAAGCATACAGGAAAATTTTAAATTATTGCTCTAATTACTGTATGTCACATCTGGAATAAACAATGCATAAAGCATCTGCACATCCCTGCACGAGGGAATTAAGTAATGAGTTAATATATACAGAACATACAAAATTCAATTAAAAGCATAAATTTGACAAGCCTATACCATACCTACAACCAGTGAGTTATGAAGGGCTTTAACTTTAAGTTTTCCATTTGATATCAATATGTATAATTATGCATTATGGATAGTTATAACTCATTTATGCTACTTAATATTTTCATATCACATGATATACATTCTCCCAAACACATTAATGTTAATTCAATTGTCAGGCACCAGAAAATGTAGGTGCGTGGTAATAAAGTATAAAACAATGTTAAGCCTCCTAGAAATGAAATTGGGGGAAAAGCTCAGATCATACAGCAATTCAAAGATAGAGATAAGGAAGACTTTATAGAAGATACATTTACATTACCATACAACACCCTATATAAAATGCATCAAACTCCATGAATTAACAGCTCACAAAACAAGTGTCTACGGCCAAAAAACTTGCTGCTAGACAACTACTCTTGTTCAGGTAACTACATTTGCTCTCATAATTCATTGGGTTTCAAAACAGACTTCAAACTAGTGCTGGGTAAAAGATGAGAAATATCAGAAATTGGCCGGGCATTTCTCGTTAGATCAATATAGCTCTGATATTGCCGTAAGTAGTCCACATCTAACCTAAAAGGGAAGCAACATAACACCACATGCAGAATAAAAGATTTGTATCAGCACAGAAAACAAAAAGATTGGTTAGATGGTAGCATTACTCATACTATACCATCACCTACAAACTGGAAGCTTGCCACAAATATCCATAACAGAGCTTTCTGATCCTTGTATTTGAAGTTTTGTTTTGCATCTAACATTCTGTTATATTTCTCAATGCATATTTCTTGCTCTTTCATTTAGGTGTCAATGTTTACAATGTTGAATTTTCCAATGAACTTCTACATTTTTCCTCTCACTTTTTTCCAGTAAAAGCATTCGATATAACATATGCTCTATGTGCAGAGGGTTCTTTGACAAACAGCCATTCAACATTACAATATTCCACGAGACATGCCACGGTCACCTAAATTGTTCTTGGGAGGAAGGCAACACAAAAATTCCACAGCTCTAAGCAAATGTGATCGTGCACGCTTGTTATTAGTTAGGCTGAGAATTGAATAAATTTTGATACATCAAGTCGTGCACTACAGAATAGAAAAACTAATAGTTTAGCGTGTTTTGATTTCTTGAAAATATACAAATAATTATACCATACCACACATAGAAACCCAATTAAACACTCCAATATCCATTGTTCATTCCATTAAACATTTTAGTCTAAACAACGGCAACATATACCAACTCGGCTCAGATTTCAAAGAAAATGTGCTCAATATTTTGTGTCTCGAAACCAACTTCATGCCAGCACGTGAATCATGCGTGTCCAACATGGTTGACATACTACATGTAATGTTCACAACGTAATGCTGCAAAGCCTGCGAAGGTAAAAGTGAATTCGAACATAAGAACACAATATCAAATCTCGAATCAGGCAAATTAAAAAAAAGTCACAGGAAAACATTGCCAAACCAAGCCAAATATTTCTGCGATTCCCGCCTCAACCTGCATGCTGAACACGGGACGAGTTATACACCCCGGGACAAGGAAAACCGCCAAGCCCCGGCGGCGATGGTCAGGGACTTATCCTGTTCGGCGAGGCGTGGCAGCCGCTCAGATGCGACGCTATCAAACCGCCTAGCCCGGGCAATGAGGCTCTACCCCCGTGGCGCAGACTCCGCCCTGGGCCGCCTGTTGAGTCCCGTCTGTTCGCCACCCTGTTGTGACAAACAACGTAGTGCAATCTACCAATACTTCCTCTGAATCGCTGTCGAATGCAGCGAGATTAGTCGGTAACTTAAAATTACAACTTTCCATTCCCTGACGGATTAGTAACTTTCATTAACAATGCAAGTTTTATTTCATTCTGCTTATCTCACTCGTCACATATGGTAAGTCAACTAAAATTAACAAAATGGCGGAGTTACGAATCCTTCCGCATAACGCAAGATGGCAGACAAAATGGCGATGACGCCTCTCCACTCAAATTGAATAGCCATCTGGAAGCATCTTGTAACAGCGACTTACGATATACGACTTGCAATTTAAAGAGAATCGAATAGACTTGACTTGAAATTATTGATATCTACGCAATTAGTAACGCTAAAATATGTAGACAATTACATCTCGTACTATCCGGCTTGCAAGTTTAAGTTTCCCTCTACGTTTAATGCGTTCAATATACAATTCCTACAAATTTGCTTTAGTCACAAAAAAATTAACCCTTCACACAGTATTGTGCAGTACTACCAAATTACAAATTCAGTACTAGTTATTAGTACTCCACCCACCCTCGCCAACCAAACTGGCGACACTTAGTCATATTTATAGCCAGCTTGAAACTTACCTCTCGCGGTCCCGGAAGCAGCAATGGCCGTCGACGTGGCCGCCATCATGATCACAATTTCTCCCGTCGCAACCATCACGTCTGCCCCAGAAGCCTCCGCGTCGCCGAACAGGATGAGAATGGCTGGGGTGCACAGCTCACCGCCTTTTATAGCATCGCCTACGTGCAGGATGAGGGGAGGGAGAGGGGGCATTCGTCCAGAGACTTCGAGAACGTCATCGCCAGTGGTGGCCGGTGGAGGGGAGCATTCAGGGTTGTACAACCATGTAGTCGAAACAAAAATCCATACTTACTCGTAATATTCCACTGTCATTTTGTTAGCAATAGGACTGTGGCTCATGAAATTATATTTGAACATTACAAAAGAATACATGTTGTATCTTGCAGTTTGTACACTAATCAGAGCGCGAAAACTTACGGTATTAAGAGAGGAATAAATCCAATTTAGTTTCAAAGATTCTCATGAAATCCATTTACAATTTCTAATTTGTCTGTTACATATTTCATACTTTGTAATAAACAAAACAAATAATATATTTCAAGACGAGATTTGAAAAAAATTCAAGACTAATAAGTAGACCTAATAGTTGTTTTAATTACTACAAAATTGAAGTTTTATTTCATTTTTGATTTATCGCATTCTTTCTCAAAATAATGAATTAAAATCCTCTCCAATGCTTTCACACCGAAAAAAACACCATTGAAATTTCAAGTCTGATGCAATGATTTCGTTTGTTTTTTGCTATTTTCTGGACAGCCCTAGAGTTCATCCAGTCTGGAACTTTCCACCGCAGCAAACATGGCGGCCGCAGCCCGTTAACGATTTTTGTTGAACAGAGATGCAAGATACCGCTCCCGTTTGACTTCAAAAATCTCCAGTTCAGTATTCACTACCAATTATTTTTGTAAAGTAAATAAAAAGTATTGTTTGTCTGTAAATAAAAATTGCACATTTTGAGCTAAGCATTTTTATTGTGTGCGAATATAGCCTTTTCTGTTCAAGAAAAGTATGAAGGCATTCAACCAGATCGTTTCTCGATTAGCGTGTATTTTATTTTTAAATGAAAGTATCAGTATAATTTATTAACTAAATTTATGTAATCTTCCTCTCCCTTCTAAATCTACAATTTTGAAGGCTTCAGCTTTCCAGAATGTTTTTCGTAACACGCATTCTTTGGTAGGCCTAGAGTGTAACAGTGTGAAAAATATATTGTACGCTATTATTCTTTCAAAGGTGTAATTCACAACACTATAATACGTTCTATAAGATTGCCTAGTCATGATAAAGTAGAATGTGTAGAGAAAAGCAACAATTCTGTAGCCTGAGTACTCAATCTAAATTTTCAATTAAAATTAAAGAACGAAATGTTTCAATTTTCTTCTTATTCCTTCAGAGAATTCGCAAATTTTTAAATATTTTTTTAAGGATTAACAGTAATCGGCTCAATTCTTCTAATTTTCTGATTCATTTCTCTTTAGTTTCTTATCGCGGTCCCAAAATTCCTAACTTAATACCATAGTAGAATGTGTGCAATATGATGCAACACTTCAAAATGGTATTACTGTAGACGCACACATTAATTTCTGCATCAGTATTAAGTTTAATTTACGAGGAAACAGTGGATCATATACATAAGTTTGCTTCTTTCAAATATGACGAATCAATTTTTGTAATGTGGTATTCAAATAAATAATTATTTATTCATTATTCTCTTATAAAGAGCTTTTGCAATTATTTTTGTTACTATTTCTTTAATAATAATAATAATAATAATAATAATAATAATAATAATAATAATAATAATAATTATAATTATAATAATAATAATAACGGTGTTATTTATTGTCGTGGTAGTCATCAATGTAGAACTGTAAAGCCTGGAGATCAAACATGTTTTATGGTATGATTATGTTGTTTTCACTTTCTAATTGGAAAGTATAATTACAATTATTACGAGAATCAAATAGGTACATTGAGGTTTAAGATATATATATATATATATATATATATATATATATATATATATATATATATATATATATATGGAGGCATCCTGAAAAAATTGTCCCTTCTACTAGTTTCATGTCAAGAAAATTGTAATTCAGAAGAACCGTCCTAATGTGGCAACTATGTTAAGAAGGGGGCTGTCCAGATAAGTCCGCGTCCGTTGACGCTCACCGCCATGTTTGCGCCAATCTCCCACGGCGTGTGGAAGGAGGGGGGGAATGACGCCTCCCCTCAGCCTTGGGCGGCACTGCGCAGTAGCAGAGACCAGAATATCCCCGGGACGGCAACGTTGCCGCATGGGGCGAAGCCATGCCGCGTCACCCCGACCACTTCCTCACAGTCAACGCGATAAAAAAATCTGAGTTCACTCTGTAAATAGGAAAAATTGACATTGAATCATTTAACATCGTGAACCAAGTAGATACGATAATCTAAGTATTTGCTTCCAGCAATAACGTTTAGCAAAAGCAAATGCTAGGGTTGCCACCTCTCCGGTTTTTGAGCTTCATCTCCGGTCTCCGTTTTTTGAAAAATTATATCCGTTTTTTTCTTCTTTTTTTTCCAATTTCAATACATTTTCAATTTTTTTACAAAATAAATAGATTTTTCAACTTAAAATTTAAAGCTTTTTCTATTTCATCAGAAATCTGTCCTTTCCTTCTTCATTAGAAAGATAAAGATAAAGCTCTGAGCAACGAATAGTATAGCTGGAAAAAGTACAATGTTAGCAAAGTGTATCACTATTTTGAATAAATGTTAATTATTTATAGATCACTAGAAACCAAAGATATGTAAATATATTTTAAAGAAATAAATAAAAGTCTGCGTCAATTTCTTTTTAGATTTCAGTAATTACCCCCCCCCCGGTCGCAGCGGTCACCGGTTTTCTGGAATTGGCAAGGTGGCAACCCTAGCAAATGCTATCATGCATTTAAAACCTTCTGGGCTATTTATGCGGTGACGCAGCAGTGGTGTAATACTACAATAAAAAATGCGTGAAATGTTTTGCTATTGCTGGAAAAATCGATTTTTACTGTATGCTCTTTTGGAGGCCTTCGATAAATAGTTGACTGTCTACGATTGTTTAATGGTAAGTTAGGAAGGAAAGAATAAAAATGTCTTCTGAGAGTGAAGACGGATATGTGAAGACTTAAGTGCGAAGGATACTGCGTTTTTTCAACTTTTTGGAGTTCCCGACTTAACATTCCATTGTTGTAAAAATAAATTACATTTAACTTTTTCGCCTAGCAAGCGCCAAAATTTATTAATGAACTATCTACATTTAGTCATTGAATTACGCCACGAATTGCGACAGTGTTCGCATCAGCTGGTACAACCTATTGTACAACGTATTGTAGGTTGGTGCTGGTTATAGATTCTGTGCTCTGTGTTAATCAGTTCATGTGGTCCGTGGAGTTGCTCGAAGATATTTATATTTGGAGCAGGATGCCAAAAATAAGTCTTCTTTAATGATAGTATACTTAAGAAAGTTCAATGCGTTTGTTGCGAGGTTCAAAACAAAGTTTTAATTCTTGAAGGAGATTTCATCATCCACCAAATACGTCTGGTATTAAAGTGGAAAAAGACTAATAATAATGAAATATGCCTATTGTGTGATTGTGAAAGTGAAGGCAATGAACTGTTTATTTTGTCTTTAAGAAAAATTAATTATATTAAAATATTTTATATGATTTGTACTATTTTTTATAGAAAATGTCCTCCTTTTCCATATAATACGGTAACCATACTCAAGTGGAAAAGATATTTTAGAACAGTAGTTAAAAAAGACTGAAAAACAAATACAGATAATTATATGACAAATTTGTGAAAAAATGCATAATTCCACTGGATTTTTTTTTCTATTAATTCTAAAATACTATCGCTTCCAGTTTTTTTTCTGTGGCTGAATTTATAACCTACTAGAACTATACTAAATGCACAACATAATTGGTTTTCACTTTCTAATAATGATTTATTTAAAATTCTTGTTATAAATAGCGTTAATTATTTCATCACTTTTCCCGTGACAAATTCTTAATTGTCTGTCATGATCTTCAATGAAAAGTTTCCAGCAGATACTGTAAAAATTTAGCAACATTATGTAAATGAAAAAACACTATAGTTACAGATGCAACCATGTCATGTTTAAATAGTACGCTAGGGAATCTTCTCTCGACCTGATCAAAGATTTAATTTAAAAGCGTTCGCTTTATGTGAAGTTTAATTTATGTAGTGATATCCCTTACAGTTGTCAGAAAACAAGGCAATATTCCATATCCTTTTACACTTAATAACACATCAGTTTACAAATTTAGTCATAGTTCTGAAAACATTTCATTTATTAAAATTTTTGTTTTTTTATCTGAATATTTCCCAGTTAATCTGGCTCAAGGTGAGGTCCTGTGAGAATTTGAAACGAATCTTAAAAATGGCTTTACATTTTTCTATTTATTGGCCAAAATGTGAAATTATAACAGCAGAGATGCTATTTTGACAGTTAACTCAAGTTTTTACTGGTAGTTAAACGAACAGATAAAGCTAAATAAGATTACATAAATGTCTTTTGATGCATGCTCTTTATTTTTCAATAAAAGGTAAATATTATTTTGAAATGTCTTTCACTCGTTAATATTTACAAAACAAACGTTTTTATCATTTATTGCATTTGTAAACGGAAGTGCTTGAAAAGTTTCTCAAGCAACTTCTCTAAAACATGTTTTCTATAAAAACTAGTTATAAAGTTCGTGATTACAGAAAGGTTTACATCTTTTTCTCAAAAGTTCCACATTTTTCTATAAAAATTAACATAGAGAACCAGATTTTACCCTTTTATAATATTCTTAGAGTTACTTTTCCATTCCACACCTAGAGGGCCGACAAATTGAGAAAATGTGAGTAAAATGTATGTTGCGGACTTCGACCCACCTCCCGCCATTTTGCGTGTAATATCGCTCAAAACCTTTTTGTGTTGTTTCTTCCGCCAACATCTCATTTATGTCTGTACTCTGTATTCTTTTTACAAAACACAATTTTTTCAATATAAATTTTTCACTAATGTAAACTAACCACAAATGTAATTGACAGGTATTGTGAAAATAACGTCCTACATTTTTTGTTGAATTAATTACCTATTTAATTGTCACCTGTTTGGACGCGTTTACACTCGGAAATATGTTCCGCATAAA